TTTTTTTTTATAGTGATTTTAATCACTGTCAGATATCATTATACTTGATCCAACTATGCCACGTCACCACTGTGCCGCGAACCCTCTGCGCTGTGTTTTTTTTTTTTTACATTCTGTTATTATGAAGTTATTGAAAATAATTAAATTAACTTTTATTAAACATTAAATAAATTTTAAATCGTTGGTATCTATTCATTAGGGAAGACCTTTTTTTAAACAAATTTGATGCCAAGTGATCGGATTTTTGTTCTATATAGCATAAAGAAAATATTACTGAATTTTGAGCGTTCTAGGTCAACCCCTTCAAGTGCTTCAAAGAGGTTGAAAATTGACAAAATGGTGTAGATAAAAACTGTTTAATTTTATTATTCATAAAAACATTTTTTTTTTTTTTTTTTAACGTTTATCTCTATAAATATTGCAAATCCGAATATATTGCATCGACAAAAATTTTTTTAAAAAGTTATGCATAAAAAAATAGTACTACCGTAATTTTTTGTAGTACTTCAATTTCAGTGTAAAAATTTAAAAAATAATGAATGTATTTTGTTAAAATCTGATTTTAAAACTTAAATTTATTGCGGTGAAACATTTTTTACTAAACTGGCTTTAGAGAATTCTTGATATTTTTTTCTAATTTTTTTAAAATAGAAAATTTTAATGAATACCATTTGAATAAAAACTTGATCTTTATATTTTAATAGTTTCTAGTTCCTTAATGTTTTTATAGATTCATTTATGGTACGCTTAATTTGTACGATTAATGAATTTATGTATATTGATATTGATACTGTATTTTATGGAATTCTATTGAGCTCTTATCAATTTAGGATTCTTTAATTTGTTAAAAAACCTTATATATTAAAAAAACTGAAATATTGTTCGCACTCACTTGAATTTCTGGATTAGCATTTGTATTGAAACATATTTGTGCTGATGTAAGTATGACGAATAAATATTTCATTAAGTTAAACGAATTAAAACGATTATTGATCATTCTTTAACCTATCTAAAAATTATTAATTTATACTGAAGTCTAACAAAGTAAAATGTATAACAGTGTTGGCTTATACTGCCCGTTTTAAAAAAAATTGTATTAATTTTATTTTAAACATTTTTCAATTGATTAAATAATATATTAAACCTTAAATATATCTTACTTTATTTGACTATCGATAAATCATATATAAAGCTATTAAATTATTATATATTTAGATTATAACAAAACAAATAACCTAAATAAAATGTGTTATATATTTAAAGATATTTTTTAATTCAGTTTGCTTTATAGTTTGAAATGGTTGTATCAATTTTTCGTTTAAAAAAAAAAAAATGAAAATTCTCTAAAAACATAAATTTTTTTACTACTATGTATGTTAATAGACATTTTCTTGCAAATGAAAAATGTTAATATATTGCACCTTTCAAATTTTTTCGTGAATCAGTTAATTTTCATACAGATGTTTTCTTGTGACAATAATAGTGTTAATTTCGGTTAACCATTAAAAATATGCGATAAAGACCCTAAAAATTTTTATAAAAATACCTCTCCTTAAAAAAGAATGTTTTAGTTTCGATACGAAGCTGATTAATTTTACCATGATGTGTTCTTTTTTTTTATATCTGTTAACACTTTTTCTCCGCTCTCACCGAACCGATTCTTTCGATGATACATCAAAAGATCACAAATCGTATCTTGTCGAAACATTACCCTCAAACATTTAAAAATTTCCCCTCGTTCCCCGTAAAACCTCCAAAAAAAATAAAAAATTTTAAAATCGCTAATTTTCGAAATTTTTTTCACATACTTGTAATTTAACAAAAACGGTAGCACAGTGGGGTCGAGGCACAGTGTGGACGAGGCATAAATAGGACAAGTATAGTTGATATCTGACAGTGATTAAAATCACTATCATAAGAAACGCTTCGATGCAAATCTGTAGATAGTGTTTCATTTAGAGAAATTGGTGGATTATTCCAAAAGGAACATCAACTCTTATTTCTTTAATTATATACTGATTAGTAGTTCTTTGATTTTAAAATATAATATATGAATAAATACTAATTATAGTTTTTTAATTTAGTATGAAATTGTGACGCCAGCTATGTTGTATGGTTCATAGTGTTGGGCGGTTGATAAGAAAGTAGAGCAGAGAATAAGTGTAGCAGAGATGAGAATGCTTAGTTGGATGAGTGGAGTGACTAGAGAAGATAGGATAAGGAACGAGCATATAAGAGGAAGTATAGGTGTTGCGTCAATCGTGGATAAGATGACAGAAAATAGACTTAGATTGTTTAGTCATG